GTGGAGGGGTGGTACAGGGTGTGCGGGGGTGGTCGGGGTGTGCGGGGTCAGTCAGGGGGTGCAGGGATGGCACAGGGTGTGCGGGGTCAGTCAGGGGGTGCAGGGATGGCACAGGGTGTGGAGGGGTGGTACAGGGTGTGCGGGGGTCGGTCAGGGTGTGCGGGGTCAGTCGGGGTGTGCGGGGGTGGTACAGGGTGTGCGGGGTCAGTCGGGGTGTGCGGGTGTGGTCAGGGTGTGCAGAGCGGGGCCGTGGGACACCCGGCGGGGTCCGCGGTGCGGGGGGGTGCGGGGGCGGCGGCCCGAGGTGGGCTCCCCGGTGCTGCCCAGCTCCGCCTCAGAGCCCGTTCCCTCTCTTCTGGGAGATGGAGGGCGATGATCAAACTCCCTCCGTCCTCCCCGGGGCACCCACAGCCCCGCCGTGCGGGTCCTTCGGGATGTTCCTGCCGGGAAAGGCGCAGGCGGGCAGGGCAGGGCTGGTGATGAGCGGCCCTTGCCCGGTCAGGTACCTTGTCCGGCCCGATCCCTCGGCTCTGCACTGGAGCTCAGCCGGCGCGGGCGGTCCCGCGTTCCCGAGGCAGCATCCACACCCCGCTGGGTTCGTGTGAGTGCTGTACGGTCCGTGATGTCCTTACAGGGTGAACCTTCCCTCCTCGCTGCTCTGTGAAACCGGAGGTCTGTAAAAGGCACGAGTGACTCCAGCCTGTTGGTGCAGGTTCTGTCGTCTCCCCTGTGTGTGACAGCACCGGCCTCTCTCTGTCCCTGCGCTGACTGCGGGGTTGGTCATCACGAGTCCGAGGGCTGGACAGAAACTAAAGCACCTGTTGACCCTCCCGAGTTGTCTTCAGAGTACAAACATAGCCAGGATGTGCTGCAGGAACCCTCCAGGTCTGACTGCCAGAAGTAAAGCAGTTGGATAAATCTGCTGGGACAACAGAATTCAAGTGATTAACGTGGGTTAAAAGGTCAGTGACCATTGAGATCAACTCCCTTTATAGTTGGGCAAGAAGCAATTCTGTGATCATAAAACCATTTCACAGCAGAATAATGTAGAAGTTAAATCAGACATAAGTGTGGATGGAGCTTTGGGAGTGTTAGTCCAATGCACTGCTTTACTGATAATGAGATACTTTATTAGGTTAACTTTATTTCATTTCAAAAATAGCACTTCACAGAGATTCCTAATTAGTTCTGACAAAAGTTTAAAAAAAAAGTCACAGTCTTTAAAATAATGCTGGTACATCTAGTACATATATTAACAATTTACGATTAAGTGTAAGTTTTAAGCTTTGTAATTAAAGATAATTGCTTTAATGAGCTTTTCTGTAATTGTAACATTATATCTAATACCAATTATTACACTTTTTAAAAACCCTCTGGAGAAAATCTTGGCAATCTTAAGTGAGCGCTGCACATCTCATTTTCCATGCATTGGGTTTAAATTTGCACCCTCTGAGCCTAATTTGTTGCTTTCCTTAATTAATGTTTTTGCATGAAGTTTTTCCCTTTTGGTCATTTGATACCCTGATAAGGATTGGTTGTGTAGTTGCCAGCCTTCTGTAGGATGTTGTTAACAAAGATCTCGGTGTTGCCAGGTTGAGGAGCAGTAAGTGCATCCTGGACTGGCATTCTGATTGATTCACACCTTCAGAGCTTTCAGGCAGGCAGCTGTATTGGGGTGTGGTGGGAATTTGATTTATAAGCCATGTAACAGGCTGTATTGCCACTTTCTTCGGTACTGTTTTGTTATTTCACTATTTTATTTACTGAAATTCCAGTTTTTACAACTCTCTCTGCAGGTGGAATGCCTCCTGTTCCTCAAGTGGTTCAACAGATTAGCCAGGAGGGAGACCAACAGCAAAATGGACCAAACTTGCCAAGTTTGCATAATTCCTTCCCTGCTCCACACAGCAGGAACCCAGCTTTTCCTCAGCAGGTACAAGCAGCAGGCTGGGGTAAGAAGCATGTGGTTGTGGTCCCAGCTCCAGTTCCCTCACCACAACAGGTGTCAGATTTGCATATTATGTTGTGTGTGGCTTTGAATGGCTGTTTTTTGTGCATTAGAACTGCTGTTGTCATCTGCTCTGCACCATTAAATAGTCTGAAACTGGGAAGAGAGTATCCTCAGAATCAGAATGGTAAATCTGTCTCATTAGAAGTCTAAGATTAATTTTTGGCACTTTACTTTCCCTTGAACTTTTACTTCTGTGAAGAACATATCTGTTCATTTATATCATTTGCAATGTCTGCCCACCTCTCAGTTTAAGTATTGTTGTGCTGGATTTTCATTTTCCTTGGATCAAATTCATTGCATTCCTCAAAATAAGTGCCAGGTGTGTGTGGAAGGCTGCAGGTAAGTGAATTATAGGTGCAGCAAGAGGGAACAGTGTGCTTACCCCTCCCTGTGCCCTGGCAGTGTTGACCTTTGTGTTTTGTGTGCAGACTTTGTGGATGGCAGAATTTATTACTCCAACCTGGGAGAAAGGAGCAAATAATTTCAGTAGTTTATGCAGATGATTTTGCCAAGCCTGCTAATTTTCTTCATATAGCCATGGCATAGCACAGCTGGGTATAAATCTTTCTTCACAGTAAAACTTTGTGTTCATTTAAATTTAGAATGCTCTGTAGATACCTGTGTCTCTCCTTTGGTTTTAATTAGTGCTGCAGACACAAATGATTTTTCCTGAGGAAAGAGAAGGAATGAGAAGGAATCAAGCATGTTCTCTAGGGAAGAGAGCATTTGTTCTTGTAATGAAATCCTAGAAGGAGGTTTAATTAAACAGATTTCATTATTTTAACTTTTTATGCAGCCTGTTTAGAACAAGGGGGAGGAATCACAAAGAAAATTAGTGCTGCTTGTGCTTGCTTGCCAGCAGTTGCAGGATGCTTACCTGTGTTAATAAAAATGCCAGAAACTAAATGTCTTTTTATATGAACTTCTCAGAGAGTTGTGTCCATGTGCCATCTGGCAGAGTATTTAAATTCTGTGAAATTTCTCACTGAATCAGCCCTGCACTTCTGATGAGATCTAGAGGTACTATATTTTAGGAGGAAAAACATAAAAGTTCTCAAGACTGAGTACCACTGCATCCCAAGCTTCTCTACTGATTTTTCATCATACTGCTGCCTTATAAAGTCCTTCAGAGACTTTACATAAATCTGCACGAAATGCATTATTCATTATCTTTTAACAAAGTGCAACTTCAAACACTGTAGAATGTTTCCAAGGATTGGGTAATAATTTCTGTTGGTTATCCATGTACCATTTTTCACAGTGTCTCTGTCTTGTTTTCGTGTTGTGCAGTAGGAAACATGAGTTCAATTATGTTTACTCGAAGGAAAATGAAATTCTGCAGCGAATAACAGCACTGAGGAAAGAAGGTTTATGGTCTCTGAAGCGTCTGCCCAAACTCCATGAGGCCCCACGGCACAAATCACACCGTGATTACCTTTTGGAAGAAATGCAGTGGATGGCAACTGATTTTGTTCAAGAAAGAAGATGGAAGATAACAACTGCCAGGAGGGTAATGTGGATTTGATATTTTCAACCAGAAAAGAGGGGGGAGAATAGGCAGCATTTTCATGGTTAGGACGTGATCAGGGAGGATGTGTGAGTTTTGGGTTGCCTCTCCACTGTGTTTGTAAACTTTTCTCTAGAAATATGCTTTTTAGATAGAACAGAGTAAAAACATAAAATAATTTCATGGTTTTATTCAGCTGATTTTAAGCGTAGCTCATCACCACGAAGATGTGATACTTCATAAGGAAAGATGCAAGAAAAGAGAAGAGAAGCAAGTGAGGGCTGTTGCTGCTTTTACTGCCAGAGGAATTGAACACTTCTGGTCCACAATTAAACAGGTAAATGTTAAAAAAAAATAATATATATAAAAATCTGAAGTTGTACTGAATAAAAACCTATTGGACCATAACAGTGAGAATCTTACAGCTGAGCTTTGCTCAGCCCCGGGGTGAATATCATCTGTTGGTAAAGACAGCTGCATGCTGTGGTTGCATGAATAACTTCAGGCCTTATATGTCAGGAAGGAGAGAGCTTCACTGATCACAGCCCGTGCAGTTGGCTCACAGTGGACATTTAAGTTTTGATGTGAGTTATTCTTGGACACCTCTTGCGTGTTACAGGGATGACTCATGGTCAGTTCCAAACGCTGGTTTTTGATTTGAGGGCTCTGCATTGTAGCAGTGGCTGATGCCTGTCTTGCTGTTGAAGAAATGTTCATTAATCCACAGGTGCATTTGAAGGTAAATGTGTTCATGTTTGTCATTTCTTTGTCCTTTTTTCCCTCCCTTCATTTTAGGTGGTAGATTTAAAACTGCAAGTAGAGTTAGAAGAGAGGAGGAAGAAAGCATTAAACAACTAATACATTTGCAAAATTCATTTGCATAATTCCCTTGCTTATTGAAGCAAATTATGTATGTAGCTGGAGCACCAATATGTAATTATATATGAAATATATCAGTCATATTACTATTTGATGAGGCATCCAGGGTGTTTCCAAGAAGTATGGCACTAGTTGTCCTATGTTTATGAGTAATTTGTGCTTGAAATGCAGATGTTTTAGTTCACAATAGCATTTTGATTAACTGCTTTTGCTTTCATTATCTGTAGCTATTTGCATTGTTAGTACTTGAAGTGTAGTTGCTGTTTTTATGTTGGCACTTCCTCAGCCTTACTCCAGGGGCTTTTATTTTTTGTAGAGTGCCCTGGCATTGCCTGAGGATAAATTGAAAGTATGCTCATTTCCCTCCCCAGTAAGATTCTCTCTATCCTCTGGGGCCTACAGTTTGAGCAAACATTAACAATATAGTTAAATTATTATCATTTTTTATTTCAAATTGTATCATTATGCTTTCTGTCAGATGCTATATTAAAGAATACTTTGCCTTAAAGCAACACAAGGCAGCACAATAGAAGGGATTCTGTTTAGTCAACAGACAAAAAAAATGAGGAAGCACATACAGGATATAATAGCCAGGTGTGCTTAGTCAGAGAACATAATGTGATTACTGTAATAGATCTTTAGATTTTTATCTGGCTGACTGGACCATAAATTAATAGTTTTAATGGTAGACAAATTAATATTGAATTGTGTGGATTTGTAATGTGGGTGGTCAGATCCCTTAAAACATTTGCATGCTTAATGTAGGTTGGGGAAGTCATAAGAAAGCAATTTTTCCAATCTTCTCATTTTGTTAAAAAAGTTTGCGTGGAAATTTATTCCTAATTAATGTGAATTCCTAATTAAGCTGCTTATTGTCCCCATTTTAGGAATCCATAAAAAACTTCAACCAAGACAAGAGGATCTTCTGTGCTATCCTTTCTTCCCACACCCCTTCCATGGGTGTCAGTCACAGAGATGTGAACACTGTTGTCTTCTGGGACACTGGTTTGGATCTGCTGGTGGACACAAAGGCTGAGGAATGGTGTGCTAAAATTGCAAGAGGCAGAGATATCCACATATACAGGTGACTTATGCTAAGAAACACTATTGGTGTTTTAAAATCGAAAATAGAGGGAAGGTGATTTTGGGTGAAACTAGGATTTTTGGTTGAGGTCATCCTTTTAGTTCAAGTACTTTGGTCTTTTAAGATCCCTTTAAAGATTATACCACACATCTTCCCTTCAGACTAGAGGGCAAATGAAAATTCCGTCCTTTTCCTTACTGTTTCTTCTGTTCCTGTCTTTCCCTCCCACTTTCATCTTACAAACCATCTGGACTTCTGTGTTGGGACAGTCAAAACAAATGTGCCTGTTTTCAGCTCTTGATAAACAAGAAATGCCTTACTTGAGCATTACCTGCCTGGATTTCAAATCCACTAGTGATGAGATGCTGATGTTTGTGTTGATGGAAGATGTATTTGAAAGCTTCTCTCAAGTGACAGTTTCTTTCCTTGGAAGAGCACGGGGGAGCTCTTCTTTCCCTTGAGAGCACAGGGGAGCTCTTGCTCACCTTCCACCACAGGCCAGGTGGGTGTGCAGTGCAGACACCCTCAGCCAATACCCTGCTCTGGTATTTCTTGTTAAATCCAGATGTACAGAAGACAATCTGTTTATTGCTCATTTCGAAAACAAGAGCTTGAAGGGACGCAGTGTTTTGAAAATACGAAATCAGGTGTATAAATAAAGCTTTCCTCTAAAAAACTAAGAGTCAAATACAGAGCTTCCTAGGAAAACAACTGAGGGACTCTAAATGAGTGTTGGTGTCATTGTGGAGCATGAGACATGGAACAGTTGGGTTTCACAGAGGATCACTTCTTTCTAGGCAGCAGCATTTTGTTTTGTTTTACAGGCTTGTAAGTGGTCATTCTGTCGAAGAGAGGCTGTTGAAAAAAGGTATTAAACATCTGATTCAAGAACTGGCTGCTCAGGGAGACGATTGTTCAACAGACTTTTTATCTCAGGTACTGTAACTTTAAGAATGTGAGCAGTTACTTAATGATACATTGAAAAAATAAGTGTTTTTCTAGATCAGAATTTTGAATGGGTAGTTCTGTATTTATTTCTATACTTGTTTGGGAGCCAGTGATATGTGTTAAAGTCAGTAGAGATCCTGAATTTTTAGCTCATATAGAAAATAGGAATATAGCTATCTAGAAATAAAAGTTGTTCCAATGAAAATTTTACTCTATTATTGACATTATTTTAATCAATCAAACCCAAAATCTGCTGCAGCAAAAGCTGTCAAATATATCTGTAATCTGACTTTTCTAAACTCGATTTTAGGATGTTGAAATAATTTTTGACATCATACACTGTCTTATTGAATACTTGAAAACATGTTTCCATAAGGTTCTTTGCTCTGAATGTGGAAATGAGGATTCTAGAAAGTTTACAGAAGAGGCACTGTCTGAGCTAAGAACTGACCCAGATTCAGAGCTGTATGATTCAAGAAACACCACGGTTCCTTCTCAGTTAGAACAACTGGCTGGCTTGGTGGGTCAGGTATGGTGACTTCTCTTGTTTTATGGAAACCTTTAGAAATATTTGGGATTTCCTGGGCAACAATCAAGTGGCTTTCATGAAGCACCTTATTTCCAATCTACTTACATTGAAGAGTTCTGTGCAAACTTAAATATTGAAACGCTCCTGGGAGGTAATTTGAGCTTGTTGATAGATCTGTTCATGTACCAAAGCACTTAAGTCACCAAATGTTCTCCTGAGGATTGTAAAGTATATTGGACTAAATGCACTTCATGATGTATAAAGTGATATAAAACCAGTTTACAGCCCTGTGCTTTGCAGATACTTGTGATTTTTCTTACAAGGACTAGGATCTGTTTCTTCTTAACCATTAAATGACTATTCACAGCATTCCTTAAGTTCTGTCAGATTTGGATTGTCTCTTTTTCCCTTTGACTACTTGTGCAGGACCCAAGCCTGCTTACTAATGACCAGTCAAGAGTGTTTGTAACAACTTGGGTGGGATTCTCATTTTTTTTTTCCAGTTAGGAAAACGGAAGCCAATAGTTGGAGCCTATTTTCAGTGGTACCATTGGGGTGGGAGCAGACAAGTTAGAACTGCTCATGTTCTAGTCATGTTTTTTGTCCTTAAATATCTTGTGGTACCTTTATTTGCAACCAGCTTGGAATTAATTTCAGGATAAATCTTTACACCAATTCACAGTAACAACTGTGGAGTTTATCTACTCAGAATTAAAACAATTACAAAGAGGCCTCCTGCTGTGATCCCTCCTTCCACCTCTTTCTGTTGTCTTAGGCCTTGAGTGAAGAACAAGTAGCTCCTCAGATGCAGGAGCAACAACCCAGCCAGCAGCAAGAAGGGGAACAAACAGTGGAGCAAATCCGAACCCAGCATTAACCACAGGGGCAAACACAGGACAACACAGGCTGTCCTGAGCAAGTGGAAGTCCCGTGAGCTCATAGAATCAACGAGGTTGGAAAAGACCTCTGAGAGCATCGAGTCCAACCTCTGCCCCAACAGCACCTTGTCAAATGGACCATGGCACTGAGTGCCACATCCAGTCTCTGCTTAAACACCTCCAGGGATGGTGACTCCCTGGGCAGCCCATTCCAATGTGTGATCACTCTCTCTATGAAGAACTTCTTCCTGATGTCCAACCTAAACCTCCTCTGGCACAGACTGTGCCCTCCTGTCCTACTGCTGGTTCCCTGGGAGCGGAGCCCGAACCCCACCTGGCTCCCCCCTCCTGTCAGGGAGCTGTAGAAGGCACGGTCTCCCTCGAGCCTCCTCCTCTCCAGGCTGAGCCCCCCC